GCTGTCGTCTGGATTTGCCAAGATTGCTACAGATGGTGGGTATGCTACAATGGAGGAGCTGAAGGATATTTCAAAGGCATGGCTGGATTTTGTTGATGACGATTTAGCGTGGTTCGGGCTGCTACACGGAGAGATCGTTTGCACAGTGTGATCTTCCCAGCTGGGATGTTATAATTTCGAGGGAATAGCCGACTATGAGTTGGCATGTACGGAGTAATATTGAAAATAAAGCATTACAAATATCCTTCAGTGTTATGTATCACCAGGGAATTACGATCCTATTTACTAATACCTCATGGGAGTGTATGTTAGCTTCTATTTCCTAGAAAAATTGTAATTTTGGTTGACAACTCTCCTACCATTTCGTCTTTCGGAATAACATTTTAGCTGGAGATGTCTAAGTGGGGGCCATCGTGACTTTCCCCAAAAAAGATAAATTCTGCCCTCTCACCGCCTTCACGTGATGCCTTTTGATGGGTTTTAGGGAGACAAAACTTATTTGCGCCAACAATACCCACTCTCGTTATTTTCTGGTCTTAACTTGCTATTGTTGAAGTTTGTTTATTTGGAGAGCATTTCATTTCAACTATTGATACTTGACGACCTTTTTCTTGCGCCACCGAACCTCGATCAAACGGAGCGACTGCTCCTGCTCCAACCATGCTTCGCTCGAACAATACCGTGTGCCTCCTGTGCCAATATTCACAGAATGTGCGATTTGCCAGCAGGAAATATCCTGGTGCTCTGCAAACACAGAGACATGCTTCACAGGCACAAAGTCGACTGCCCAAGCGCATGAGACTCTCCCCTCGCGTAGCCCAACCGAACCCCAGGACATCCGAGAGTGGCAAGCCCGTCCGAAGGCGACAAGATGGCCCGTTTGGAGGAATGAATTTGAAGGAGGCCGGTATCAGAGGAGTTCCGGAAGTTCGGCGGACATCGGGGACGGATATGAGAAGCAACGATAGAGAAGGTGGCAAGACAAATAGGAGAGAAGGATACCACGCGTTGAAGATGCAACGGGCTCTGTCCCCAGTGTCGTATAATAGCAGGACGGCCATCAAGGAACGACTGCACCAAATCGACAGTTTCAAGAAATTTCAGTTGTTGCCCAGTGTGCAGGAATCTATTGAGGCCCAGGCGCTGAAGGGACTGGAAGATGTCATGCCCACAGCAGTTCAGCGGCTTGCAATCCCGGCGCTACTCGGCGAAGTCAGCAAACACCAAAGGAAGAAGACAGTTAAAGCAGAAAGGGAGGATTTTCTGATTGCTGCTGAGACTGGTTCGGGCAAGACGCTGTCATACCTCCTTCCAGTTATTGATGCTGTCAAGCGTGCAGAGCAACAGGACGCGGATGTTGAGGCCTACAACAAGATGAAGCAAGAAGAGGACCTGAAGCAAAACAACCTCACCCTGGTATCTCCTCCATTGACGAATATGCCCCATCCTACAACTGGCAGGCCACGGGCTGTTATCCTTCTCCCCACGTCTGAGTTAGTATCTCAAGTTGGCACACTTCTGAAGTCTCTGTCACATACCGTGAAATTTCGGTCAGCTCTTATATCCTCCTCTGTTAGCGGGAAGGTCATTCGAAACCGCCTCTTCTCTCCGGGCGGAGTCGATATCCTGGTGTCCACTCCTCATCTTTTGGCATCGATCGCGGAGTCGGATCCAAATATCCTTTCAAGGGTCACCCACCTTGTGATCGACGAGGCCGATTCTCTCCTCGACCGTGGATTTTCTCCCCTGACCTCGGAAATTATTGATAAGTCCAACCCATCATTACAGCAACTCATTCTCTGCTCGGCCACAATTCCACGATCCCTTGACTCGTTCCTGCGCAAACGATTCCCGGATATTCGCCGCCTAACAACACCAAACCTTCACGCGATTCCGCGTCGTGTTCAGCTTGGTGTGGTTGACGTTGAAAGAGATCCATACAGAGAAAACAAGAACCTGGCCTGTGCCGACACGATCTGGTCCATTGGGAAATCAGCCGCTGATCACGAAGGCCCAGACAAGAATGCAGTCGACCTTAAGCATGTCCTTGTTTTTGTGAATGAACGTGAGAAGACGCAAGAGGTAGCGGAGTACCTGGTCACAAAGGGCGTCAATGCGGTTGCGTTGAGCAGAGACACCCCTGAACACCGCGCTTCAGAAATTCTCGCTGATTTCACGTCATCAGAGAAGCTCACCGTTCCAAGAGGAGAGAACCCTGGTACCTTAGCTGATAACCAGCCAAATTACCTTCCATTTGGACATGTTGCACCGCCGGCAAAGAGGAATCTGCCAAATATGAAGGTGCTTGTCACTACGGATTTGGGATCCAGAGGCATTGACACGTTGGCTGTCAGACACGTCATCCTGTATGATGTGCCGCATTCTACGATCGATTTCATTCATCGCCTTGGCAGGACCGGCAGAATGGGTAGGCGTGGAAGAGGAATTGTACTTGTAGGGAAGAACGATAGAAAGGATGTGGTCAGAGAAGTGAAGGAGGGTATGTTCAAGGGACAGGCGCTTATCTAGAGCGAATATCCATAATTGTATTATACTGTAGGGATATTTTCCGATATAGAAAGGAATTGTACATTAGCCGCATGGTTTACCACTCAAATCGTCGCTTAGTCGTCTTCAGCGTTTTTATGTGATTGTCGGGGTCGCAATTGAGGGGCCTTCATCCTTAAATTCGCTTAGTGTGGAGTAAACATTCGCGTCGCGTCACGACCTTCACCAGCACCTCTCTAAATCGAAATATCCCTGCACTATCATCCTCCCGAACATTATGCGATAATGAGAGAATGAGAAATATATACAACTATCCAACATCCGAAATAGCTATTGATACGAAGACTTGAAAATCACCACGATGCCACGCCCCAAACGCGCCAAAGTTGCGCCCTCTGCACCCGCCGCCCAACCTCGACGCGGGAGGGTCTCAGGGCCGTCGCGCAAACCAATAGAGGCCTCCGAAGCAATTGGATCTTCCCAGGAACAAAATATCGAGCAGGAAACCCAAACGACCATGACGAGGGCAACGAGGGGTAATGCGACCGTTTCTGGGCCTTCGATACGAGCAGCAAGTCTGAGCACATCGAATACCACAGTATTGGAAGAATCAAGGAAGCGCCGCGACTCAGCGATATCGCGTCTCGAGGCCGAAAACGAATATACATCCAGCAATGGAGGGCCCAGCGATGCTGTTGCGCATGCCCCAGGAGAAATACTATCAAGCAGCCCGGAAGTTGAGATTGGGAGGCGGGGAAGAGTCGCTGCAAGTGTTGAGAGCTCAGCAATTATACCTGGAACATTTAGGAGGAGGGCGCGCCAACCAAGTATACTTGGACAAGGACAAGAGATTGAGATTGAGAGAAATGAAAGTGTGGAGAGCGACATTGCACAGAGCCAAGATATCACTAACGTGGAGAGGACTCTTGGGAGGGTCATGTCGAGCGGCTTCAAGCCAAGGCAAAGGCAGCCCAGTATATTGGGAAATGTGAGGTCGAGCAGCGTGGAAGACGAAAGAGAGGTTGGGACGCCTGTAAATCCTGGATCGGCGCTCAGGACGGGATTATTCAGGAGGAGAGCAAGACAGCCCAGCATCCTTGGTACGCCCAGCCACAATCCGAGCCGCGCCCCTCCAGCAGAACCAAGCGACGAGGACGAACACGGCGAAGAGGATGAGGAAGATGATTTCAATCCCGAAGACGAATCTACTCCACTCAATCTGCCAAAATCGAAACCTCTCGATGGCAGCCCCCAGTCAACATCTCCACTCAACCCACGGAAACGCAAGCTCTCATGTCCATCAGCCTCTCATTCATCAGCTGCCCTTCCTCCCCTCGAGAAATCACCTTCTTCTGCCTTCTCACCACCACCAGTTTCTTCACCTCTGAGCGCGAGATCGCAAACCCCAGAGATCATGAGCTCAACCCACGCACCACCTCACAGCAGCTCGTCCCTCCGCCTGAGCTTGACCCCGCCCCGGCGAACCCGAGCTACATCCGGGATTCCTCCAGAAAGAACCCCTCCCACCCGCCGCCAACCATCACGCACCCTCGCTATGGATGATGATCTTCCATCATCTCCCCCATCCCTCACCCACTCACCTGACAACCGACCCTCAGTCAAAAAGCCGGCCGGCAAGCCCAAAGGAAAAGCCGCAGCGAAACCTGAACCTGCATCTCTTTCAACCGCGCAATTGCAATTACTCCTGCCAAGGCGCCGAAGGCGGGCAGCAAGGGACGCCTACGAGATTGGTAACTCAGACGACGAGGTTTATGCGGAGAGTGACGAAGGTGAACTTTCTCACGTTTCAGCCGCCCCGAGCCGTTTCAACCGACAAACACCCGGCGCACGAAAGCGGGTCACAAAGCTTCAATCTGCGATCAAAGGCAAGGGCAAGGCTGTTGCTGCCGTCCAGGCTGCTGCGGCAAAAAAAACGTATGGATCGCGCCGAGCAGCTGCTCCATCGCTGTCTGACAAGGAGAACGGCGAGAACAGTGCGGAGGTCAGCGAGGCGGAAGTAGATCCCGACGATAGCCTCGCGCCAGTGCAAGATAGTGTTGAGGATAGCAGTGTGCTGGAGGAGCGGCTGGGCAAGGAGCTCAAGATTGCGAAGAGGAAGTTTGAGGATGTTGATCAGTGGGAGATGGAGTTCGAGGACATGACTGCGAATAGCAGCAGCCCTAAGGATGCCAGATGAGGCATGGTCAGGGGAGTGGTATATGGCGCTTTGGCTTGATGGGTTTGCGTTGCTGGATGCGATTATGGGCTATGAGCTTGTGCGGATTTGAGGCGTTAATGGATAGGAAGGTGGAATAATCAAACGGACGATGCATGGAATGGACATACATTTAGCTATTGTATGCTTGCGTATAGCATTATCAGACACATATAGGCTGACATTACTCAATACCAAACTTGCTGCCTATGTTTTACAACGTACATTTGACCAAAGTAGAGTTAGATCTACTATAATACAAAATTGGGAGGACATGCCATCAATGTTCTTTCCCTCAGTGTTCCTTTAAAGTGTGTATTAGAAATCGGGGTATCATAACGCCTACTTCGCCATTTCCTAATGATCTGTCCTCATCCTCGATTACCACCCTTACGCGCGCAATGCCGCCAACTTCGCTTCCTTCTCTTTCAATTGTAGGGTCATGGCCCTGTTTTGCTGCTCCACCTTCCGCTTGGCATCTTGTAGCCTGAGTATCTCCAGCTGCTCTGCTTCTCTACTATACGGTTGCCCCGGACTACTCCTCATGGGTATCAGCGCCGTTCGCTCCGGGACCGACGTCCCAGGCCCCAAGTTCTTCTTCTTTGCACCAGCCGCCTTGCCCTTCGTCTTCTCTCCAACCGACGTTAAGATCTCGTAGAAGTTTTCGTATGGCTCATTGAACAGTTGTTCCTCATATGCCCAGGCGAGAACCTCTCCCGACGCCTTCTGAGCGGCGCGTTCCTCTTCGGTGCCATAGGCGTGTAGTCGGAGGCCGTGCCACACAGACTGCGGCTTCTCATTCGACTCGGACACGTAGTGAAGCTTGATGTTGATTTCAAACTCACCCCATCCAGTTTCAGAGATCGAAAAGGGCTGGCCGGCTACTGCCTCCACCGCTGTATAGAGTTAGCTCTCGTCCCGTCGCGGTCTCGTGAGATTGACTTACAGCGCAAGGGATTCGGGATCGACTCGTGTAATTTGAACTGAACCTTCTTCAGCCAATACGTAATATCCGTCCCATCTACACCCTTCACAAACACCGTCCAGCTATGTGTGTGGTCTGCCGGCACACCCTCTGGTTTCGGGTTGGTCGTCTCGTCGAAGGGTTTAGCTGTCGTGCCATAGATGAATGGGCGGAAGATCTGCACGCCCTTGACGCGCTTCTGGTTCGTGCCTGGTGGTGCCATCGGGGGCTCACGTTCGTAGGGCGAGACTCCAATTGCACGTCCTGAGCGCGGTCCTTGCGGTTTGACTCGAGGCCTGACTTGGTGGGAGAGGTAGGAGATATCTTTACGCTTCGCCATGGCGACGGCGGGGCGATAGATAAAGTCACGGAGAATTGTTGTTCCTAGCGTGACGCGTGGGTGTTGGAAAGTGCCAATGATTGGTCTGTGCTTTCACATCGTCATGATATCAGTCTATTTATTTTGGGCTCTTTGAGGAAGAATTGATCGCTCACCAACACAAAAAAATGGCGACGGTGAAAAGAGTCGTTGTTTGTGGTGGTAACGGTTTCTTAGGAAGTAGGATATGCAAGTACGCGGTAGCGCGAGGCTGGGATGTCACATCAATAAGGTAAGGCAATTTCACATTGGGTATCAGCCTTGTAGTCAGACCGGTCTTGTTAGGATATGCGTGCTGATTATGGTTAAAGTCGCTCAGGTGAACCAGTATGGTCTTCAGTCACCTCGTCCCCCTCAACTCCGCCGTGGGCCCATAGTGTGTCATGGGAACGCGCCGACATGCTGAAGCCAAGCACATACAAGCCTCTTTTAAAGGGCGCTGATGCTGTCGTCCACACCATGGGCATCCTGCTCGAGGCAGACTATAAGGGCGTGGTATCCGGCCGTGAATCCCCGATATCCGGCCTCATGCGCGCCTTTTCCTCCTCAAAGGCTGGAAGCCAGAACCCGATGGAGCGGAAGCCAGACGAGGACCTGAAGCCGCAAGAAAAGGATGGACAGCTGACTTACGAACTCATGAACCGGGATTCCGCAATTACGTTGGCTCAGGAAGCGAACAGAGAGCAAGTCTGCACTTTTGCGTATATTTCAGCGGCGGGTGGTGCACCCATATTACCAGCAAGATACGTCACTACGAAGCGTGAGGCTGAATCGGCAATTGCAACCAACTTTCCGACTATGAGATCGTTTTTTGTTCGGCCTGGGTTTATGTACGACTCTTCGCGGCCGATTACGATGGCCATGGCTGCCGGGGCTGGAGGGGCATCTGTGTTCAGCGAGGTTACGGGAGGGGTGCTGAAGGACTTCTTAGGTGTGGCTGGCACGAAGCCGCTGAAGGCAGACCTGGTTGCGCAAGCAGTTGTCGAAGCTCTGGAAGATGACACAGTTAAGGGGCCAGTTGAGACGAAGGAGATCGAAGAGCTTGCCACAAAGGCATGGAGGAAGGGGATGCTATGATCTTGCATTTTCATCCTGACTAAAGGCAGCCGCCTGACCTGTACCAACACCATGTAAATCTTAACACCATAACCAATTTATCCCACTTTAATACAACCCGTGACCTTCATATCATCGTTCCACGCTCAAAACTGTCGCGAATCTCGGCCGTGTACTAAAGAGAGTTAGCGTAAACTCCTATATCGATTTCGGGGAAAAAAGAACGTACCTTGTTGTAAAATCTGTTCAGTTTCTGGTTGAAGTTCTTGTTCTTCTCATTAATGTATGTGATATCGCCCTCGTCGCGATCCTGCCCGCGTTCCTTTCTCTTCTTCAACCTCGCATCTTCAGCCTGTTGTAGATCGGCCACCAGTCGGTCCACTGCAGCCTTGTCAGGCTTGTTTTCGACAAAGCCAGTGGAGTCGGCGGTAGAGTAAAACGAGCCTTCCTTGTCGACAGCGACCAATTCTCCGTCGTCGGTCTCCACAATCTCCAGACCACCTGAGGCAGCAGCTCGCTCAATCGCAGCCATCTTTTCCTTCTCGTAGTTGCTCGTATCCAGCTTCATATTTCCAATCTGTCGCTTGTATACCTTCCTGCTATCCTGTCGGTAGTCTTGGAAAGCCTGGTCGTCGCGATGTGACTCTTTCTTTTTGAGTCGCTTGTCCCACCTCTCGCTCTCCTCGATTGTCCAGTCCCAAGCACGCTTTCTTTCAAAGTCTTCACCTGCAGCCTCGATATCTGCCTTGAGGAGTTTCTGGGACGCAGTCGCATGCTTGCGGTTTAGTGTCGTGAGGAGGTTGGGGTCGGTGGCGAGTCGTTGCGACTCGAGGGCAGCTTCTTTCATATTCTTCTGAGCAGAGGACTTCGCACGAGCCTGGAGCGCCTTGAAGCGCTCTTGTCTTTCCTTGGCTTTGGCTAGGGCGTCGTCGGTCGATATAGGGGCTTCGGCAGGTGCAGTGATCTCAAATTCTTTGCTTGGTGCGTCATCTTTCATCGCGGGCTTCTCCTTGGGCTCTTCCTCTTTCGTCATAGATTGATCGGCATCCCTCACCTCTTCGGTGGAGGCGCTTGCTCGCGTCTTGCGCTTCTTGGCTGGAGGCATGATGTGGTGGTGGACGATGTGGTTGTGTTGTAGAGTGGAGTCTGACGACAGTAAACAATTGCACCCTAGTTTAACTTGTCAAAGTTGCTTAGTCATAACTTTAATTTATAAACGAACCCGGATGGATATATAAGCGCCAAAATGGACTTGATACGCAAAATATTAACACCGTGGATTGGAGTGGCAGAGCACTTCAGAAATGACTGCCATTCAAGTGGTGCGCTTTCTACGCCGGGAAACTTCACTCCAATCCAGTCTTTTCGCTGAACATCGTCGACTACAGTCAACCCAATCCCAACCTGGAAGAACCCACAATGTTTATAAGCTAGCAATGTATGAGGCTGTTGGGCCGGTTGACGGTTCTGATGGTAGTTCTCTCGGTGTCGGAGAGAGAGGCTCCCCTTTGAAAATATCAAGATATTCACCACGTCGTCGCTCTTCGAACTTTGCTACTGCACAATTAACCATCGCGCAATGCACCAGCATCAGAGATTTGGAATTCTTTATAGGCGGCCTGGCACAGACGGCAGATGGATGCCGATGGATCGTCCATAATTCATCAAGTCTAGTTGCCGCCATGTACAAAGTCTTCTTTATCGGGCTCGCTGATCGGAATATGAGACGTCTAAACTTTATGAACAGAAGTCAAACAAATCGAAGCCCAGGGCGTTGAAATGGAACCATATCTTTGCGCCACTGCACTATCACACGCCTTGAGACCTTTATGCATACTTAGGACACCTTCTTGCGCAAAGACCTATCTCGCCACGATGGCATCCCGCAAGTACATGGATGACCACCAGTCGATCTGGGGGTTGTGTTTCTTGAGCCATGGCACACCAAGGATGCACGCATGGTTGTCCATGTGCACGATGTCAAACTGAATCGTTTCCTTGTGCCCGTGTAGCATGACCATTTCCAATGGGACCGTTTCGTGGGTCACCATTCCTTCATTAGTCGAGATGGGCTCTCCATCTACGACCATTAACGGGTATGGTTCGGTTTTCAATTGCGTCTTGAAACCTTGCGTGTCTGCTACTTTCTTTGTCATAAAGTTGCCCGTCGCTCCTGAGTCAATCATTGCTCGGAGGTGTCGCTGTTGTATCTTAGCGACCACATATAGTTGCATGCTGCCCGTCGTGGCGCATAGCTGGTTCGTACTAGGCCTCTTCCTGTCGCTCGCCGGTGGCCTACCGTCGAGGACTCCTAGTTTTTTGACTCGTCCGAGGAGGGATAGTATTCATCCGCTTCCAATGGTGGTCCTTGGGGAGATCGTTTCCCTCGCTCTTCTGCTTCGTCTAGCAGATGTGGGTATTTCTCGTATACCTGTTCACTTTTGATAGGCAAGTCCCCTTCAGACTGGCTTCGCCTGAGGGCGTGAACTTGCTCTGCATCTCTGAAGTGTATCCTGGGCGAGGATCGGGGAAACAACTGATTCTGGTGTTTCTTTTTCCAGTGGAGCTTGCAATCATCTTCGCTGCAATACTCCCAGTAGACATACGCGTGCCAGGGATGATCAGTCTCTGTTGCGTCTGTCGTTGATAGTTCCCGCTGTCCTCTCACCCATGCACTATCTTCCCTCGGAGGCGTGGAGAACGTGTCTAGTTGCTCCATGGCACTCCTTTCGATGCGTGGAGTGGGTCTCGCATTTTCCCGTCGCAGCATACCTCTGGCTTTCTCGTCGTACTTCTCCAGGGCTCTCCTGCGGTCCTGGTAGTAAAGTTCGATGCTTTTCATATTCTTCAGTTTAGCCATATGCTCGACATCCTTCTCCAGTTCTTCCGCTTCTTGGGCTTCCAACTTAGCTATGTCTGGGGACGTGCCAAGCAGCCTGCGGGTATTCGTTAGTTGGTCGTAGTATCTCCAGAGGTCATCCTTGCAGTCGTCCACCTTGCACTCTAACGGAAGTCCCTGTAACAGGTTCCCGTAGATGCCCTTAAGCGTGGGGATTCTCCTCTGGCCGCTGGGCTTGTCTCGTTCGGCCCTAATCTTCGCGTGGGCGTGTTTTGCCATGCGTCTTACTACACTCTTGCACTGTGGACTCATTGGTTCCGTAGGTGCGAGCTCGTCGAAGGTTTCCTGTTCCGAGACGGTGAACGATTCCGCCTCTGATTCTTCATCTGAGCTCCCGTCTTCTGGGGTGCTTTCGCCGTTTATTCCCCAGTCCTGTTTGTTCACAAATGTGGCGTTCAACTGCATCCCTGAGGCGTTGTAACCTCCCCGGCCTTGCCAGGTAGCATTGAGTTGTTTGCTGACTTTGCGTCCGCCGTTCCCTTTCTTTGGCTGTCTGCAGTCTCGGGCCATGTGGCCTGGCTTGTCGCAGTTAAAGCAGAGTCGTTCCTTGAATTGTCTGTCTTTCTTAGGGTCACGGGGTCGTCCAGGTTTGAACGTGGCATCGAGTTCCATTGGGTCCGACCAACGGTTGTCTCGCGGGTGTTGATCCCGTCGTCTGCCCTCGTTTCCCCGGTAGGGGTAACTTTCTTGGGCTTGTCATAGGTCCGACGTTCCTTCTGGAATTCGTATAGTCGATTGTCGATTCGGACCGTATGTTCGATTAGCGCTACCATGTCCGTTGGTTGTTGTTCCAAACGGGCAAGTTCCATACGTATATGGCTCTTCAGCCCACGTCGGTAGTGGCTGATGAGTGCGCTGGCGTCCCATCCTGTCTGATTGCCGTATCTCTGGAATTCTGTGGAGTATGTGAGGGCGCTGCCAGTCTGCTTAAGTGCAAACAGATGGTCTTCCGCGGTCTTAATCTCATCGATGTCTCCGAACATGCGTCGGATTTCCTTACAGAATCCTTTCCAGCTGCCAAACATAGTCTGCGTAGTTGCCATGCTTCCATTGGTACTTTCATATTTGAAATAATCCTTGAGGAATGGTTCGACTCATCGCAGGGCTTCCCCCCTAAGGTAGGATGCAGTCCACAGGGCATAGCTCTCCTGGGTGGGAAACTTCTCGTCATTGAAGTGCTGGTACAGTTCGACCTGTAGCAAAAACACCTCAAGTTCCTTTCGGTTGCCGGAGTAAGTGTCGGGCAACTTGACGCGTAGAGTTTCCTTGAGTTCGTTGATGGTGGGTGCGTCGGGCATCTCTTGAGTTCGTTGACGGTGGGTGCGTCGGGCATCTCTTCACATCACGTTATGTGACTCACACATCACGTTACTAGGCCCTGGCCCTGTAACCATGACATCATGTTACTATAGCCGTAACATTATATAGAGACGTATAGCCTAGATGAGTTATTATATTAATCTTTAGAAGAAGACATAGTTATATAGTAAAGATAGTATAAAGTGTTGTTATTGTTACTTTTGTTTTAATAGAAAAGTTAGTGAAGGAGGGAGTTAAAGGCTCTATATATACCTAGATTATAGATTCTAGAATATGCTATATAGATATATTTATAAGCATTTATAAGCATCTCAAACTCTCTAGAAGTTTATAGAAGTTTATAGAATTCTCTAGAAACATTTTGTTTTTCTATCTTAACGTACTTGACAAGTGAGTCGTATTTGCATGCGAGTCGTATCGCAACACACCAAATCTGCTCTTTACGGACACTAATGACTATAATGGCTCAACCACAGAACACTCCGGCTAGTCAGATTGAAGGCCGAATTGATTTAGCTATTCAGGCCTCCCATCAAGGCTATTTTAGCAACCTTAAAGCAGCTTGTACAACCTACGATGTGCCATACACAACTGTCCGCGACCACGTTAACGGACGCGTTGCTCGACGCGATTTATAACCCGCAAACAAAAAACTTAGCAACACAGAGGAGTCAACACTTGTCGAATGGATATTATCCATGGAGAAACGAGGTCTACCCCTTAGATCTGAATCTGTACGGCAAATGGCAAATCTATTACTCCAAAAATGGTCTGACGCGGTCTACTCTACCCCTCTTACAGTTGGCCAACGATGGGTTTACAACTTTGTAAAGCGCCACCCTTTCCTCCAATCAAAGTACACCCGTAAATACGATTATCAACGGGCAAAATGTGAAGATCCTACCGTTATTCGGGATTTGTTTCGACTTTTACAGAACACAATTGCCAAATATGGGATTCAGGAAGATGACATCTATAACTTTGACGAGACGGGATTTCAAATGGGAGTGATTACAACCGCAAAAGTGATTACGGGTTCTGAGCGGGCCCATAATGTAATGGTGGGTGCACCAGATGTGAGAATCTAGCCACCCAAGGAAGGGATGAATTTACTAAGACAACACACTGTCTTAGAAAACAGAGCCAAAGGGTTGTAGCTTAGACTATTCCACAACGCAGCAATCAGGTGTGTGATGTAGTGAAGTGGTTCAGACAAGTTGCAACAAATGTTGAGTCTGGGAACTCAGGGGTAAGTCAGAGGTTAACACCTCACTGACTTTTCAAGGAGTAACAAGATCAATGCTTGAAAGCTTGGAAAAGACATGGAAGTATGTGATAGTCGATTTACTGTATTGTCTGCTTGCCCTTTCTTAAGGAAAGGGCAATCCTATTTATGCTAAAGGAATGTAGTTCTCTCATTTTCCAAGACTTTCCATGACTTACCAGGCTTGGTAACTGTAGTCGACGTAAGAGAATCCCATAGAACCATCTCCTAGGTTCGTAGCCTATAGGAAGTAAAAGGAGGTCCAAGTTTAGAGTACCCCTATAGACAAATTATGTCATAGACAAATTATGTCACAGACAAATTATGTCACAGACAAATTATGTCATAACTTAACCAATCTTGTGGGTAACTAAAGAGTGATGACATGTAATGTATCATAGAGGTTCGTAGGAGCTTTTAGAGCTATCGTTCATGCTCCTAGGTGTTACGACGGAACAAGAAGGCTGGCCAACTACAGGACAGGAAGGAGGGAGGTCGCATGAGACCGGCCCTGGTACCTGGAGGGGCAGCGGGGAATAGTAGTTCCGAAAGTATCACGTGACGGACTCGCAGGATGATGAGAAGAGTCCTAAGAGTCCAGGACTCCGAGGACTCGAGTGAGTTCCCAGGAGTCCACTAGGCACGTGAC